ACTGTCAACACACTGAAGCTGGGCTACGTCATAAATTAAATGACCAATGAGTTATACCTGATAAAATTAAAAAGATGAAGGTAATGCATTGGTTATTATATTAGTATAACTTAAATTTGTATAAATAAAATAAATAATTTGTATTCAGCTTCTATATTCTCTATCAGAGCAAGTGTTGATTCAATGACCTGTATTTTTAATTATGTAACAAGTAGTTAATATAGTTTACACTTAAATTACAATAATGATTCTCTAATGAAGATAATTTTAAATATGATATCTCTTTTTGCAGGTAAAAAATTGTGTAAAAATATGTCTGCAGCTTTGTCTTACACTGCAAATTTCTGTGAGTATTAGATGAAATTTACTAACAGTTAATTGTTTTGAATCAAGTTTCATACAATTATTATATGAATATTTTAATTTGCAGCAACTTATGAGGATGTGCACAACATTAAGAAATGCAGCTGAAGTTGTTTCATTCTTTGACCAATTATTTGATAGTGTCAATGGAGCATCGATAAACAAAAAAAGCATAAAGGAAAAGAGCTGTGACAGATAAGAACGCCGTCGTGTCTTATCTGGCCAAAGGCAATTGAAATTTAAGAAAAACTTAAATATGCAAAAATCAGTGCCCTCTTTAAAAAAAATTGTGATTACCTTGAAAAGTTTCATAAGGTTGTGCCACTAACAAAACGTAGCTAGGAATTGCCGAGAATGCAGAAGAGAGCTGTGAAAAATATAATAAGTTAAAAAATAAATTATTCAATAAATAATATTGGAAAAATGTGTGTTTTATTTACGTGTTCATTTTTCCTTTTTTGTTTTAATACAACAATAATAATAAGCTAGACTTATCAGTCTGCTTTATTATTATTGTTGTATTAAAACAAAAAAGGAATTTCAATTAAAGTAAAAATAATGTGGAAACTAGGAAGACGGCTAGGTACCTACCCAAAACAGGGCTGTATAGCTAAATGCCTTTGCCGATAGTAGATCTATATTTTAAAACGAATGAAGCTGTCATGTATCACTGGCTCCCAATCACGTTCTACGAAGAAATTTTTTGTTAGGAAGTTGGTCGTCTGATACCTACTAAGTCTGTGGCAGATATGCCATTAATAAAAGAAGAAGAAGACTAAAGTATGTACCTACATATCAGGGAATTACAAGTGATTGAGTAAAGTTTCTTTTGTGCTTACCGTCTTCGCTTTATTTGAATATAAACTCTCCATTTTTCGAAGTATTTTTATTTGTTGAAGATGCCTAAGAAATTGGTGTGTTGTGTTACACGCATTGTTAAAGTACGAACAGGATGCTATTCTTTATAAGATTCTAGTGAACGAGAAAAGATTCTCCAAATGGTTACAATGTCTTAGTGCTGTGTGTGATACTGAAAATTTTAATCCAGGCAAAAGTGTAATTTCTAGCAAACATGTTGTACCAAGATTCATCACTCCAAAATCATGACTCTTGGGTGATGCATATCCGTCATTGTTTATTGATGATGGTCATGATGCTCTCAATCAGCCTACCCTCTTCAAGCAATACTGGTAAGGCTGGTTTAATCTGCTATTACCTTTAGATAAAGTGAAGATACATATCATTTTAATTACATTATGTTATGTTTTGGAATACCGCTATTCTTCATTAGATTTTTTTTTTATTACAGAAATTATATATAATTAACACAGCAAGAAAAAGTCATGTTGACCACACATATTAGAAAGTGGAACTGAACAGAGGTTTGTTTTTTATTTATTTTATTTAGATAACAAAGTTCATGCTGCAGTTTTGGTGTATTTTAATATAGATTTTTGCTTTAAAAAAGTCTAGTAGAAGTCTCTTACATATAGAAAAAAGAAAAATTACATGAAGTTACTTAACTCTAGCGGGCACGCTAGAAGTGATTTTGATCAGAGAATAAATTGATAATATAAATAACATATTTCTAATATCATCTAAGATTATATCCTGTTTTTTAATCTTACACACATAATCAATATTGATTTCAGGGTGGTGTAATTTTAAAAGGACAAATTGAGACTCCTGTGTCTGCAGCCACTGAGTTTACTCAATTAGTTGCTTGCTCTGGAGATTAAAATATAACACAAACTAAATTATCTGGTAAGACCCGTCTCTTTCTTTAATGTATCTTTATTTCAATCAAATAGTAGTAATAGAGAAATTCACTGAATACTTTTGATGTTACAGACTCTGTGAAATGTACCCAAACAAAAAGGAAAAGGCTTATTACCAAATAAAGCCAATTGTCAGCTTTAAACCAGAGAATTTATGAAGAATATAACAAGCCAAAGACGTAGTTGAACTTTCATAATAAAGTTAAGAATACCTAAATACCTTTAAGTTTTGTAAAAAGTTATCATTTGAAAAGTTCAGACAAAAAATGAACACAGTTGCAAAAAATGTTTTTGAAATGCAAGTGAGCATGTGCTCTAAAAATAAACATGAGAGGTGATTCACTACCGAAGAAAAGATAATTGCTTTATCAATATCAAAGCAGAGTCTAAATCATCCAAAACTACACTGAATACTATGATTAGAAAATTGATCATAGAAGCAGGCTTCATGTAAAATATATTCCATATAAGGTTTTTCATACTACTTTTATAATTTTTTGTATTACTACCAAATAATAATATGTACCTACCTATTTGAATTTACTTTTTCAGGTGGACTAATGAAACTCCTAAAAAATATGCTCCATTATATTTGATGAAATGTCATTAGAAACAGCACTTTCATATAATGAAAGTAATAAGGATTAAAGATAACATTAATGGAATTGTAGAACACCAAGAAAAGAAAGTGGATTTTGCAGATCATACTCTTGTATTTATGTTGGTGCTGTTTACAAGTGGCAACAGCCTTTTTATTAGTATTTCTGTCAAGGAGCAACATCTACTGTACATCAAGAATTTTTTAAAGTTAGTAGTAAATAAAGTTGTTTTAAACCTTAACCTAAAAAAACCTTAATCCCAAAGCAATAATAAATGACCAAGGCTCAGCTTTCCAATCAGCTCTCAAAAATCTAAAAGAAGACAGTGTGATCAAATTTTAAATTGAAATCACAGGTTGGTACAGAGAATTATATTTATATGAAAGAAAACTAATAGATTTAATGAAAGTAGTGAAGGTTCTTATTTTTATATTGTTATCTATGTTTTAAGAAATTCTTACATTTTTGTTTCAGTTGGCATTCTTAATATATGTGGGGTGGATTTGAACATTATAATTCTACACACTTGATAAAATGTATCAGCAACAATTTTTTAACAAAAACAATAATATTGGATAGTAAACTTGCAAAATGGCATGATATTATTTATGTCTATAAGACAGACTATCAACACACTGAAGCTGGGCTACGTCATAAATTAAATGACCAATGAGTTATACCTGATAAAATTAAAATGATGAAGGTAATGCATTGGTTATTTTGTTAGTATAACTTAAATTAGTATAAATAAAAGAAATAATTTGTATTCAGCTTCTATATTCTCAATCAGAGCAAGTGTTGATTCAATGACCTGTATTTTTAATTATGTAACAAGTAGTTAATATAGTTTACACTTAAATTACAATAATGATTCTCTAATGAAGATAATTTTAAATATGGTATCTCTTTTTGCAGGTAAATAATTATGTAAAAATATGTCTGCAGCTTTGTCTTACACTGCAAATTTCTGTGAGTATTAGATGAAATTTACTAACAGTTAATAGTTTTGAATCAAGTTTCATACAATTATTATATGAATATTTTAATTAGCAGCAACTTATGTGGATGGCAGGCCCGTCAGCACAACATTAAGAAATACAGCTGAAGTTGTTTCATCTTTGACCAATTATTTGATAGTGTCAATGGAGCATCGATAAACAAAAGAAGCATAAAGGAAAAGAGCATCATTCTTTCTGGCCAAAGGCAATTGAACTTTTAGAAAAACTTAAATATGTGTATAAAAAGGTATGCAAATATCAGTGCCCTCTTTAAAAAAAAAATGTGATTACCTTGAAAAGTTTCATAAGGTTGTGCCACTAAAAAAACGTAGCTAAGAATTGCCGAGAATGCAGAAGAAAGCTGTGAAAAATATATTATGTTAAAAATTAATTATTTAATAAATATAATATTGGAAAAATGTGTGTTTTACTTACGTGTTCGTTTTTCCTTTTTTGTTTTAATACACCAATAATAATAAGCTAGACTTATCAGTCTGCTTTATTGTTATTGTTGTATTAAAACAAAAAAGGAATTTAAATTAAAGTTAAATAATGTGGAAACTAGGAAGACGGCTAGGTACCTACCCAAAACAGGGCTGTATAGCTAAATGCCTTTGCCGATAGTAATTCTATATATTTAAAACGAATGAAGCTGTCATGTATCACTGGCTCCCAATCACGTTTTACGAAGAAATTTTTTGTTAGGAAGTTGGTCGTCTGATACCTACTAAGTAGACATGCGCGCCGGGCAAAAATTTCCCGGCGGCGGCGCGCCGACTTGTTATGGTCGGCGTGGCGGCGCCGCGCCGGCGCTTTGGTCTTTTTTTTTTTTTTTTTACTTATTACAGGTAAGCTCTTGGCCTCAGTCATGCAGACCTGCCGTGCCGCGTCAGCAATGATGAGGCCTAAGATGGAGCGAGCTTACCTGGAGATTGCCCTAAGGCACTGGATCTTCCACGCAAAGACGGAACACAGCAAGCTGTTATGGCGCCAGACTCCGGTGGAAGGGTAGTTGCGACCCAGGCGGACCTTCGCAGGTCCTACTACCCCGCGTTGGGATCTTTAGCCGTCTCCACAAAAGTGGAGCCGTTGCCCAGGGTGGACCGCTAGGAGGTAGATCCCAACCACCCCAAAAAGGACCAAAAGGTCTTATTTTTTTAACAATATTTCTTTTAAATGAAGGAGTAATAAATAAAACATATAGCTAGATAGGAACTTAAATTTATTCAACAACTCGTGGAAAAGAAAACATTAAAAGAAAATTATGCATTTAAATCGTTTTTGCACAATGTATAGTTGTCGTGAATAAAAATTATTTTATTTACGCGCACTGGGTTAAGCCTAGACCTTTTAGCTGTTACAGTAAGTCCCGCTATAGAAAAAACGCGCTCGCTAGGCGTACTGGTAGCAGGGATTGCCAGAATAGCCCTTGCCAGTTGGCTCAAGTGAGGAAATGTTTTTGATTTATTTCGCCAATACTGTAGGACATCGTCGTCTACAACGTCACTAGCATTAGCAGCTGCCAAGTACCTCCAGCATTCTTGATCAACTTCATTAAACTCAACAGAAGTTAAAATAGAGCTAGTGCTGCTGCTGCTGTGTTTCTTGGAAAGCTTTGACAAAATAGATTCATTAGAAGTACTAGCAAGAACAGCAGGAGGTGATGTAGCCACCATCGTGGAATGATTTGAAATATTGGGCTGTATTTTTATGTACTCTGCCAGAAATGCAGCACGAGTAGTATTTTTTTGTTCAAGGTACGAATCAATCTGACTCAAGCTTATAAAACGAGGATCCAACAATGCCGAAACAACAATTTTATCAGTGATTGGGAATCGTTTGTCTAATTTTGCCAACATTTTATTTTTCAGTGATAGCATTATTAGCGTTTCTTCGTCTGATAAAGAATTGAGGATATCTCTGATTTCCAAACGAAACACAAGGGCCAAATTAAGCGAAGCTGTTTTTTGTGTCGATAGCATTTCCACTACTTCACGGAATTTACGTAGAAACCGAATAAGATCTTCTAACAAGTTCCACTCCTGTTGGTAAATTTTTAAATCATGTTGATTGACTTGTGCTAATAAATTATTAACAGGATTTCTGTTGCAAAAGTGTGCTAGACTTTCTAGCATAGCTAGCATACTATGCCAACGGGTTGGCGACGAAGTTTTGATACTTGGCACATGGTTTATGCTACCAAATTCATCGCTGTTCGTTTGTAGTCCTGAAACTGAATGTGAATCCGACACCTCATCATCAATAATTGGCTCATTTTCATCCATTTCCAAATGTTCTGATACGCGCTCTAGAGACTGTAGAAATTGAATCTGTTCTTTTTCTGCCTCTCGCTCCAAGTCCGGTAAACGATAACGAACGGTTTTCACAATCTTTTTACACTTTTTTATTAAATCTGCTAATTCAGGAACACTGCCAATACCGTCTACAGTTACCAGGTTGTGCAATGCGTGCCCTAAGCACAAATGGCTGTCCAGTGCGGCAAGCGAAATGGCGCGTTTAACATTTGACCCTGCATCCGTCACGGAGTGGAGTACTTTTTCCTGGAGATCAAAGCACTCTTTTGTCTCGTTTAATGTTTCTTGAATTTTAGCTCCCGTCTTTTTGCCCTCGATAAGCTTAGTGCACAACGTGAATGATTTTAACTCAAAATCTGTAACATAAGTAAGATTAATTAATGGTTAATTAGGAAAATAATAATAGATAACATTAATAATTATAAATGTTTAATAGAGTTACACGACTTACCAGCAGTTAAGTAATGAAGAGTGAACGTTATGTAGCTCAGATGTCTATACTGATCAGTCCACAAATCAAACGTGATAGCGGCATGTCCAGCCGCATCTGTTTTGATTTGAACTTTCACATTCTCCAGCATACTTTCATAGACATCGTCGAGAGCAGTGCGAGACACTGTGTCTCTAGAGGGCATATCTTCTTTACAACTGATGATGTCATATTTCTAAAATAATAATCGAATTATTTGAGTAGGTATATTAAATATACAAAATAGCAAATCAAAGTTTTACTTAAAGTAACTCTATAAACTTACTTGGAAAAAATCGTTCATGCCTTCATCTGATACCGAATCGAACGGCATTAAAGACTTGCAAAACCAGAGAGCCATATCTCGTGCAAGTAACCATGAATCTTTATTTTTTATCAATGAGCTGCTTGGAGTTCCAACTGTTGTTTGTGAGCGGCGTGGTTGTATTTGAAAAAACTGCTCGATATTTCTTGTAGCTTTACCAGAACTTTCTTCTTTTAAATTATGGAAATCTCTTAAATGTTTGATAAGATTGCCTGTACTGACAGTTTTGACGTAAGATTTTATTTTAGCCCTGAAACAAGTTTAATAGAAAGATGCAACAACCACATGCAAAATGCTATATTGAAACAAGGACAACCCAAACCCATTAAACAAATTAACAAACCTATAGCTTGCAATATAACAAACCTATATCTATAGCGCAATACCAAACAACCTTTTATTAAAATTGATTAAAATAGACAGTGCATAATGACAACGCAGATGTTGTAATTTATAATACCTATTCACTATTTATCAAACAAACAAGGATTTTACATTTTATTTACCATAACCACCCGCATCCATCATTCAAGCAATACTGTAGGTACACACCACGAAGCAAAAACAAAGGTACACACCTACGTAAATACGTAGGTTAGATTTTATTTTATTTGTACAAGAAATTAGTTTGCATTTACCTAAGTTAGCTAAGCTAGTTACATAGGTTAGATTTTATCTTAAATTAGTTACACCCAGTTAATTTGCATTTAAGTTAGCTTAGCTAGTTAGGTTAGGTTAGATAGGATAGATTTAATTTTAAGTTAATTACGAGTAGTTAGTTTAGGTAGTTAGTTTTAACTAATTATTATACAAGTAACATACTATATTGTTTGTTGCAAATTTCAATACGAATTACGAACGAACAAATATTTATCCTTTTCTTTGCGAAGTTCAGCATTCTCTCATCATGACGATGGACTATGACGATCGCGATGTCGATGGCCAAAATGAAAAACTAAAAGTTAAAATACAGTTGACATTTTGTGATTATAAATACTCGTAGGTAAGAGGTAGATACTTACATACTAAGTAAAACCTAATAAATAGTTGAGGTTAAACCTACTAATAAGTTGGCGAGTGAGCTACTTACAATCCAAATGATATTTCATCATTCTCTTCTTTGGCACCAGACAAGCATGCATTGCAAAACACTTGATCATTGCACACTTTCCTCTTTCTATTATCCTCTTCGATAACTAAATCACCAAAATACCGCCAACAAAAACTTGTCTTCAGTTTGGCGTCGTATAAAATAGACACCGAAAACTGTTTAATTTTAGTGTTCTTGAAGGTTGTCATTTTTTTAGTTATTGACCGCACGTGCGATCCTGTGAACGAATTTTGATGTAATGAAATGCCCAGCCCGGGTCGGCCGACAAATCGCCCGCAGTCATGTCGCGACAAGTCGCGCGGAGTTCAATCACCTCGGCCGGCGCGCCGGGCAAATTTCGCGGCGGCGGCGGCGCAGCCCGAGCTCGGCGCGGCGCCGCCACGCCGGCGCGGCTCGCATGTCTACTACTAAGTCTGTGATAAAGTAACTTATATTGGTCTCTGACAAAGATAAAGATCTTCTAATTATGTAAAGACTAAGGGGCACAAGCTTATACAGCCAACACGTTCTTTTTTCTGAAAATTATGTTAAAGTACAAATTCTGAACATATTACATGTTATATATAATAGCATACATAAATCAACTTAATAAACTTATGTAATGGAATTAAATTTCCTATTGAAATAAAAATAACTTTTTTTTTTTTTTTTTTGCGGGTAGACGTCGCCCAGTAAACATCAACTTTATCCACTGCTCAATTTAATTTGTTTTATATAGTTATTACATAAATTTTCAATAAATGTCAATGTGCATTTAATTAAATAACTCATCACCGCTTACCGCAAACATAAAAATCAACTCTCCTGTGCACCTCTCACTATCGGAAACCACCACACTATGGAACTTCCATCACTTTCATCAAACGAGGGAATCACTGAGTTATTTGCTCGAATGAGCAGTTTTGAAGAGCGTCTTGACAAGGTAACCACTTCACCCAGCAGCCCACTGTTACCACCGGACCTGACTTCACTGGCCCGTGAGTTTGCGGAGTTTAAGGGCTTTGTGTGTCAGATGTTCAGGAAGATTTGTGTCCAAATGGAAGCTCTTTCTTTGAGCCAGGAACGCCACGAAGCCTTCTTGCGTAGGAAAACTCTTCTCTTCCATGGAGTTGCTGAGAATAAAGAGGAAAAGGTTGGTGAGGTTGTAGTAAAAGTGGTAACTGACAAGATGAAAGTGTCAGACTTTACCTCTGCGGATTTGCAATCCTGCCACCGGTTGGGGACCTCTACTGACAAGCCTCGTCCAATCCTCGTTCGCTTTCGAGATCTAGATCATCGCCAAATCGTCTGGGACTCTAAAACGGCGCTCAAGGACACAGGTATTGTGGTGTCTGAGTTCCTAACAAAGACCAGACATGAAGTTTTCATGGCCGCTCGCAAACACTTCAGCGTCAGAAACTGCTGGTCGGTGGATGGGAAGATCGCCATCATCCTTCCCGATAAGACCCGTACGAAGATTGAAACTTCAATCCAGTTGCAATCCTTGATCGCCCGATTTCCGAGTATTAATGCTGCGCCGCTGCCGGTGGCTCCCAAAGATCCACTGCGGGACCCTGGGACTGATAAAGCGCCGACTACCAGATGCAGGACCACCTCGACTAAGCTTTCAACAGCATCAATTGCTAAAAGGACAAGGAAGTGAGCTCTTTCGATGTCGCGTTCGTAATATAACATTCACCTCTTCACTTGGTTGGATTATCGTTACAGCTACCACTAAATTTCTGTATTTTTACCAATATCTAATACTATTTTAATGCAGGTAACTTCTAATTTTTTATTTAATGTATTTTAAAGTTTGTTTACAATTTCAGCTGTGACGTGACCTGACTGACTGACGTGACTGACATACGACATTTTCTTTTTTTTTTTTTATGGCATTGTCGTCTTGTTGTTGGGGACATTCTGCCATTGTCGAATTTATCATAGTAAATAATTTCAACACGCTTTTACTATGTCCACTTGCTGTACTGTAAATTAAATCTTCCAGTACGCTTTGCGGTAAGTGAAGATGTTAAATTGTAAATTAGATTTGTGTATTGTTAGGTATAACTTGTATTTATTCTTGTATTATTATTTTATATATTGTAGTATATAATAGGATTTATATATATACTTTTAAATGGATAGCTTGCGTGATTTCGACAATCAGTATTTTTCTTGCTCTTCATCTTCTGACGACTTTTTGAGTGCTGACTCTGATAGTGATGGTTCCCTTTCTTGCTCTGTGCATGATCAGGTGAAGACTATATTTTCCAAATTTCCAAATAATTTCAACGTCGTTCACATTAATGCCCAGAGCATCCCTGCTCACTACCCTGATCTTGTGGCTTCCTTTAGCAATAGTCCCGTGGATGCAGTTCTTATCTCAGAGTCTTTCTTGAAACCCTCTCTCCTTTCTTCCCAATTCTTACTTCCTGGTTTCACTCTTATACGCAACGATCGGACGGGCAGGGGTGGCGGCGGTGTCGCTATTTATCTTCGGGAGGATATTGCGCACACAGTTATCGATGTATCCCCAAGCAAGTACTCCTTTTCTGCTGAACATCTTTTTATTGAGATAATTCTCAACTACAAGAAAACTTTACTTGCTGTGTTCTATTCTCCTTCTCTGCATATTGATTATTTCAACTCGCTCGAGAACCTGTTGTGTAATGTCTGCCCTAATTATGAACACGTTCTTTTGCTAGGCGACTTTAATACGTGTCTACTTAAAAATGATGCACGGACTCAAAAACTGCAGTCTCTCTTGTCCTCTGTCAATTTGGATATACTTCCGCTTACCGCTACCCATCATTCCCCCCACTGTACTCCTTCCCTTCTAGATCTTATGATCACTTCCTCCCTTGATAAAATTGCTATCCATGGCCAGTTTCCTGCCCCCTTTTCGTACCATGATCTTGTCTACCTTTCTTTTAAAACTCGTACTCCCAAACCTAAATCCAACTTTCGCCCATGCCCCAATCAAGAAAATTAGATTAAGACATGCACCTGCGCCTTGGATCACGCGGGATATTAGGGATGCGATGTTAAAACGGGACAGCGCCAAGCGTCGCTACAATAAATGTCCTTCAGACACAAACCTCGGTCGCTACAAGTATTGGAGAAACTACTGCAGTCATCTGTGTAGGGATGCGAGAAGACGCCATATACATGACTCCATCGTTGGCTCTAGCCCAGCAAAAACTTGGTCATTTCTGAGGTCACTAGGCATCGGTAAGACTTCAAATTCCTTTAGTGGCTCTGTGGATTTGAATGCACTAAATGTCCACTTTTCCTCGGTGCCTGTGTCCTTAGATGCCAGTGTTAAAGCTCGCACATTGGGGCATCTCAATGACCAGCCACGCCCTCTTTGCTCTTCTTTTCAATTAACTACTGTTGCGGAGGGGGACGTTAGGAAGCATATTCTCGCTATCACTTCTACAGCCGTGGGCAATGATGATATATCCTCCCGCATGATCTCTCTCCTACTTCCACAACTCTTACCCATTCTCTGTCACATCTTTAATTACTCCTTAGTAAATAGTTGTTTTCCATCAGCTTGGAAGCGTGCTAATATTATTCCTCTTCCAAAAGTCTCCAATCCTACGTCCTTTTCCAATTTTCGTCCCATATCTTTACTGCCTTACCTTTCCAAAGTCCTCGAACACATTGTCCACAATCAGCTGTCTTCTTATCTTACATCAAATAGTCTACTTTCTCCCTTCCAGTCAGGTTTCCGGTCAGGTCACAGTACTGTGACAGCGCTGCTAAAGGTCACAGATGATATACGTCTTGCAATGGAGGACAAGTCTCTGACGATATTAACACTACTCGACTTTAGCAGCGCTTTCAATTCTGTAGACTTTGATGTCCTTCTCGCTATTCTTCGCTCTCTTAACGTCTCTCCTCTTGCTTTGGCGTGGTTTGAGTCTTACCTTCGTGGTCGTTCTCAGCGGATCCACTCTGATGATGTCTCCTCGGACTGGTGCGATCTCGGTGCGGGTGTGCCGCAGGGTGGTGTACTGTCACCACTCCTGTTTTCCGTTTTTATAAACACAGTCACCACTGTAATTTTGTCTAACTTCCATCTTTATGCAGACGACTTGCAGATCTATCGGCATTTTAAAATCTCTGATCTTGATGATGCTATTGCTCTTATCAATGCCGATCTGGAGCGGATCTCTACTTGGGCTAAGTCATTCGGACTAGTAGTAAACCCGAAAAAGTCACAGGCTTTGCTTATTGGGAGCACATATATGTATAAGCGTCTTGGCGCTGTCACTGCTATCCGTCCATTGCTTTACGATGGCGTTATTATTCCTTTTAGCAAATCTGCAAAGAATCTTGGGGTTATCATCGATTCCAATTTGTCTTGGCTCCCGCACGTCAATGAGGTCAGCAAAAAATTACATTTTTCACTTCACTCGCTCAAATGTCTCCAGAACTTTTTACCTCTGAAAACCAAGATCTCCCTCGTACAGACTCTCCTTTTCCCCATTCTTGACTACGCTGACGCGTGCTACCTGGATGCCACTGAGGAGCTTCTAAACAAACTAGAGCGTCTCCAAAATGTATGTATTAGATTTATTTTCGGTTTACGTAAGTACGATCATATTTCCCAGTTCCGATCGCAACTCAAGTGGCTTCCAATTCGTCACCGCAGGAACGCTCATGTTCTTTCTACTCTCTATAACATCCTATACAATCCCTCTGCTCCTTCTTATCTCCGTAACCTCTTCCACTTCTCCCGGGCCCAGGACAAACCTTGTCGTTCGAACGTAAGGACGTCACTGGCCATCCCCACCCATCACTCTGATTTCTTTTCCTATTCCTTCACTGTCCATGCCGCAAGATTATGGAACGCTCTCCCCTACGAAGTACGTGATTGTCCATCATTACCTGTATTTAAAAAGCGAGTCAAAGAGCACTATTTATCACTAGTTGTCTAGTATATATAATATTTTTAGTTATATATGTTATATATGTATTTATGCTTATATTATGTATATATATTATTTATTATGCTTATTTATGTAAGTATATAATATGTAAGTATACATTTATGTTCATGTTAAGTATGTAATTATGGTCAAAAGTCGTATCTATTGTAAATATTTCAATTTAATTATTGTGCACGTTGTGTCTGCCTTACTTTTTATGAATCTCCTTCCGTAGGCCTACTGGAAGAAATTTCTGATTAGAAATAAGTAGTGCCTGTTGTGTCAGTTATATTTGTATTGTTACTTTAGTGTTTTTATTGTG